TAATTTGAGAGTACATGTCATAGAAGTATAGAGCATTCCATTCGATCGTATAAATTTTTCTAGGATTTACCCCATTTGTCAAAAAATTTTAGTAAACATTTAATAAATTTCCAGTCAAATAGATGAATTTATGTAGAGACGACAAATTAGACAAGACTTAATACGTTTCACAAATAGTATAATGCAAATTAGACTCATCTTTCCCTTGAATCACGAACAGGAAAAAAACTTAATTATAATTTCTTCAAGTTCGTTTTCAACTAATTGTAGTCAATAAAAATCACGATCCCTTTCATAAGCAGCTTCGATAAATGATAGCACATGAAAATGATACGAATGAAAATAAATATTGTTAGGCTATATAAAATGAAACACGAAACTCTCAATACAATTTTCTTATTATAATTTCTTCTATATCAAACACAAATGTGAAGTCATTCAAATAACACTACATATAAATTTGATATTTAAGCAAACAAATTAGATGGATGTATGAAATATATCATGTTATAATAAATTGAAGAGGAAAGCCCCTAATAAAAATTCAACTTCAATCAATCTAGCTAATTTGAAACTATTGACCCTAATTTATAAGGTTTAAGCAGGTTGCGCAATTAATATTGGTCCGTTGTTAATGAGATAATACATACATGCAATTGCTCCACCTGTCATGTATTGGTTTACTTTCTAGCTATCGACCTGAAATCAAGTAGAAAATAATAAATTGAGTAAAGAAACTTTGAACTCTCGGGTCAAGCAAATTAAATAATGGAGGTGGCGGTCAACTGATAGGACAAGCAAGAAAAGAAAATTGTTATTCATAGGATGACCGTATAGTCCACTGACTCGGTGTTGCCATTCCAGGATCCAGCTATCAAGCAGAAGGAAATCAATATAAATGAAATTATATTTTATTTATCTAAAACTTGACTAAGTATTTGTATATATTCTTTTCATGTTCTTCTTCTACTTGTCCTGTTTAACTGTTTTATCTTAAAAAATGTTGCCTTCCCGAAAAAAGAGATTGGTACATAAGTTTTTTAGGAAGGGAATTATCAACTTGAAATTTAAGATTATGCCACACGGAATATAATACACTAATAATTTGTTATCAAGTTTACCAAGTTGCAAAGTCTAAATTAATTACTCCTAAAATCTAAATTAATAAGGAAAGTTAAGCTATCGTATTTAGTTTTAAGGTGGTCTAATGTGAGCTAGAGAGATACTTTTTATTATAAAAAATATCAGCATGCTCAAAGAAAACAAATGAAAGCTTAGGTATATTGAATCATCTAATGTAAAGTACAATAAATAGTGACCATATAAAATTTAAATATGAGTAAATGAAAGTGAATAATTGAATATTTTACATGGAATACTGTCATCATGAGAAATTATTAAAAAAAAAAAAAGTTATATAGTACATGAATTGACAATTTATGAATATAAATTTATCGGTCTACATTTATTTTAAGTTTATATCTAAATTTTTACATGTTAAATTATAATATATTAATTGCCATGTTGATGACTAAATTAATACAACAATAAAAAGATACGATGAATTAATAAATAAACAGTTTCCCATCACTTATGGTATAGATTTGGAAATAATAATTTATTGATTACAGTATCAATTTTCGTCATTTAATATAATTATACTACTAATCACTTTATTTTATCTTTTATATTTAATTAATAAAAATATTTTCACATGGTTATTTATGATACAAATTTTGGATTCTTATTTCATAAGAATTAGATTATTGAATTGATTGAATGCCACAAACATACTGACAGGATCCATTCCGACCCTGTCTATCTTGTAGGATCCTAACGCTATTATAAGACTCAAGTGACCAAGACATGTCGTGGGTAAGGCTGAAAAACTGTTTTCTAACTAAACTATTATATAACTTTTTCTTTTTCCTTTCATCATATATATATATATACACTGCAAATCTGAAAATATAAGGTATCAGATCTCACACACTACAACAAAACATGAGACAATCACAAATGCAGACCATGGGTCTTGTAGCAAAAGACAAATATATACAATGTTACACACAAAATGAAATGATCTCAGCATAGGCCCAACCTCGAGCAGAAATCACTACTCAGCACGATCCCTGTGATGACCATTGGGGTGGGGGGTGTGGATTTTAAAAAGGTGATTCAAAAATATGAGTGAATGGATGATTTTGTAAAATATTTAAAAAAAAAAAAACTTTATGATAAAAAAAAAATAAGTACTTTTGCTTCTTTGAAAACAATGTCATAATTAGATTTTTAAAAGGTGAGTCAAAAATACCGAGTGAATGAATGATTTTGTAAAATATTTTTCTGAAAACTTTATGATATAAAAAAATAAGTACTTTTGCTTCTTTGAAAACAATGTCTTCGTAATTATGTTATAATTATTTGAATTATTTCTTATAAACTGATATTAATAAATTAGTAATTGTTCTACTATTGTAAAATTGAGAATTGATTCTGATACTATAAAACTATTAACTGATAGTGAAGATCTCACCACAACTAGGACCTATATGTCATACATAGTGGCCGTTCCACACACAAGTAAAGTAGGGAAAAATATTTCATACCCGACAAGCTCTAACATTGAACGAGTAGAGTAACTAAATCTGTCATACGCATGCGTTGAGCCAAACACGTAATTTATAAATCCGTAACTGTAATCTGATCTTTAGGGGATAAGTACTTCGTAGGGTGGTTCGAAAACCACTACTACTTTTATACTTAATCTAATACTGCCTTATTCATAAAAACGTATACCTTTTTTCAGTTTTCACTTAAAAAAAAAAAAAAAAAAGGATATTTAATAGTCATGAATATCTTATGCTATGTATAGGGGTGAAAGTGTAAGTTTCACAAATATTTCTCAGAAAAAAAATTCCAGCATGTTTTTTCATTTCTCTCTCACATGGTCACACCCTCCTCCTGCTACCTAATTATTGCAAAATTAATTTCTGCTACCTAATTAATGCAAAGCCAATTTCTGCTTTACAAGGCAAGAAATTTTAAAGCTTTAACTTTTATATTCAAGAAAGTCAAAAACTTATTCTACAATCTCTTCTTAAACCCCATATGTTCTTAAAACTTCCAAAAACACCTTAACTTTATAAGATTTTCCATTGAGCCATAACATTTGACTACCTTATTATTAAATTATTTACATTTCTCTATCAACCTACTTGACTGATAAAATCAAAACTCATTCCACCAGTGCAAATCAATCAATTCAAGCAAATATTTACTCTAAACATAATTTGTAAAATATTTGAATGCTAACTAAAAATTGAAATACCATTAGAAAATAAAACTTTTACTATAAAAATATTTAGATTTTACCTACTCACAATTTTTAAGCTCAACCCAAGGTGGTATAGAACTTCTCTAAGGTCTTTCCACTTCTTCTCCTATTTAGCCAAAATTAGAAAATATACTTAGAATCCTCACAATAAATAGACGAAGAAAATGAATTAAGTAAGATTCTTAATGCTAATGTTAACCAAAATATGAGAAATTACAATATCACCCTTAACTCTCTCTCCCTCGGCCAACCCCGTTTTCCCCTACTTTCTCCTTTCTTCCTTCTTTTTCTTCTTTCACACTTTTCTCTAGGATGAAGTAACGATGTTTTATTTATAACTGAGTTATATAAATAGATAAAAAGTACATAAAATTTATATAAAATAATTAGAATAACTATTTTATTTTTTATTTATTTATATGATTCAATTATAAGCATATTATTGCTCCCACCGAAATGCTTGTTCAACACAAATTGGGATGAAGCCAAATATGGAAGGTTTTTAGAGAAAAGGTGGAAAAAAATTGAGTTGACTCTGAACTCATGGAGGAAAAAGTTTCACTCATTTAATGGTAAGGCTCCCCATACCTCCAAATGTACACGCCATCTCTCCTTGTTGGCCTTAACTCATTTAATGCACATGTCTCACAAAATTTCGTTTTGCAACCTAATATCTCAGATAATTATGGTAAAACTAACACTATCACCTCATTATCTTATTACAGGATGATCCCAATATTTGTCATATTTTCACACAACCCAATGATGATATCAAATCTTTCCAATTATAACCCTAGCCTTTCACCTCTTGTATCAATGTCACAACTCACAATGATTACTTTGGCCAATTTTTGATAAGTCCCTTAACCAAAGGATAATTCACTGTCCACCCTTATCATGGATAACTTTCATATTATAATTATATAAATTCATTATTCAATGCTTCTAAGTTTTGAGAAGAATTCAGCATAGTCATCATGGAAAGCCTGTACCACATTAAGGAACGCCCGTTCCTTTATCCAGGTAAGCCGTTCCATACAGAATGACCCCGTTTCCCAAAGCGGTTTCATGTTTTGCCCAATCTAAGTAAAACTCCAAGCAAACGGTTCCATATGGAACAACCCCGTTTCTGTGCCCGTTCCATATTCTGAAAAATCAGGGACTTTAGAGCAAGCTATTCCAACGGAATGACCCCGTTCTTATGCCCGTTCCATCTTCTAGAAAACTCTAGACAATCTGAAACACTCGTCCTCTATAAAAGAATGATTGTTCCTTTAAGTTGTTAAGTAGTATTTTATTAACTTGTTGACACTATTATTTTTTGCATACTTAATATCCTTTTTATATATAAGCATATAAGAAATTAGCCGGATTACATATACGAAACTTATTAAACTGATACGGCGTCTCAAATTCGGCAGCTACGTATGACGGTATGAGAATGTGAAGGTTGGATAGGTGTAAAAACGTGGTAACGTGTACATATGGTTGCCTTAATTATTGTCAAAGAAAGAATAGCGGCTTCTTTAATTATAGCCTATACATATCACACTTAAGCTCATTTATTTTCGCCAAACTACCTGTACCATCCCATCCTAGTTTTATTATTATTATTGTTCTCTCAGCAGTCCTCAAGGACAAGTTCATCTTTTCAGAAATTGGCATGGATTCTCCCATCAATGTCCCTAGATGGACACCAAGTCCAACAAGAACATTACTCCCAAAAGAGCCTGTAACAAGGCCAAGAGAAGATGACTTTGAGATGCAAAGTGTTGCTTCTTTAGAAGAAAACTTTTCTGCTCCTTCTGGCGTGGACAAAAATTTCCCATTTAGCACTGGCTTTTCCACTGCTACTCCTAAACATCGTTCGGATAGATCTGAAGCACCCACTCCCAGGATCGAGATGGAACAAGCTGTATCACCAAAGAGAGAAAAAAAAATTCTGGTTTGTTATAATGGTGATTACACTGCATCTTCACAAGGAAATAATGGCATTTACTTGACATGGAAGGACCTTTCAGTTACGGTTTCAAGTGGGAAAAATGGCAGCCGTGCGATTTTGCAGAAGCTTACTGGGTATGCTGAGCCTGGAAAAGTACTTGCTATCATGGGTCCTTCGGGTTGCGGGAAGTCAACTCTTTTGGATACTTTAGCAGGTATTGGAATTATGTTTGTGCTAAAAAATTAATTAACTTTGAACTGAACGCAATGTTTTCACAGCTTAAATCTTTGTTCATATAGCATAAATGTCTTTGGAAATGCTAGCGGTAATGGCCGAGTTATAGTACAATTGTCTGTTTATACGATCACTGGTTTCCTTATATATATATATATACACACACACACGTTTCAGTTTTGGTGATTTAATAAATAAATGATATGTTTTTTTTTCCTATTTAAGAGTCAGAGTATGTGGTAATTAAAGATAAAAATTTGCTCTAAGAAAGAAAATTACAAAAAAAAAAAAAAAGAATATATAATTAAATTCATATTTTTTATGTGATTTTGTAGCTCATCGGAGGTAAAAATTATAGATAACAAAGTTCATCTGTTAGGCAACTGTTGTATGAATAATCTCTTTCTAAATATACTATTCATGAATGTGAATATACGTTATATGAATAATTATACTTGAAGAGTTTTGTACATGTTACGCCATTACTATAGCTACTATTACATTTGTTATTTTTATTAATTAAATCTGTCAGTCAGAGTTTCGTATTGAGACGTAACTTCAATGAAGGGGGTTTTGGCTGTGTTGACCTTCCGGGTTTTCTAATACCCTGAAATGTTGCTCCTTTAATATGTATCTGAATCCTACTTAACCTGTCTTGTATATTTAAATGCTTTCATGTCATTCAGCGTTTATATGCCTTGTCCAGTCTAGCATGCTGTTAAAAAACATAAATAAATCAGTTAAGTTTAGACTTTTTCAGTAACTAGAGTTTCCTCTATAATTTTAATATCTTTGTTTCTAATGTGATGTGATATAATATCAATAGGTCTCTACTTTAACGTGGATTTTTATTTTTTTGATGACGACCCTTTCATTGTATAACTTAAAGCCATTGATATCTCATTGCAGGAAGACTAAATTCAAACACACAGAAGACTGGAGAAATCTTAATCAATGGTCGCAAAGAGAGACTTGCCTTTGGAACTTCGGTGAGGAGATATTCTCTTACATTTTGACTTTAATATTGAAACGCTTCGGCTGAAATCATCCAACTCTTTACCTCTATAATTCTGCTTGAAGGTTGCGAAGGTCTCAAATGAAAGTATCACAACTAAAAAGTGACCTTTCTTGACAATTTTCTCTTTAACAGTCCATTGCATCCACGTGTCAAGAAAATGGAAAGATACTATATTGCTTGACTTTAGATATTCAGCCTTTATGTTAAATAAAGAAGTTCTATAGCTAAATGAATTAGATTTGTTGAAATAACTTTTGTAGCTAAGATGTAATTTTAAAGTTAATACTAAAATAATAAATAGTTGTGAAGGTGATTTCCTTTGAACTTGCTTTTTTAACTCAACAATATTGGCTTTTCTGACTGAAAATATTAGGCCTATGTGACTCAAGATGATACTCTAATGACAACATTAACGGTAAAGGAAGCTGTATACTATTCAGCACAGTTGCAACTTCCGGATTCCATGCCCAAATCCGAGAAGAAGGAAAGAGCTGAAATGACAATTAGGGAAATGGGTTTGCAAGATGCAATGGACACCAGAATAGGAGGGTGGAGCCAAAAAGGCCTTAGTGGTGGCCAAAAGAGAAGAGTTAGCATTTGCATTGAAATCTTAACCCGCCCAAAGCTTCTGTTCCTTGATGAGCCAACTAGTGCACTAGATAGTGCAGCATCTTACCATGTCATGAAACGCATCGTTATGCTTTCTCGCCAGGACGGAAGAACTGTTATTGCATCAATTCATCAACCTAGCAGTGAAGTTTTTGAGCTCTTCCACAATCTCTGCCTTCTTTCCTCTGGAAGGACTGTTTATTTTGGTCCTGTTGCAAAGGCAGAACAGGTATAAATACTTTTCAGGATGCGATAGAACAAATAACATGATCTATTGCTTTAATGAAAAATTGATACAATTGATGAATTTTGTACATTCTTGCTTCAGTTCTTTGCTTCAAGTGGCTTCCCTTGCCCAAGTTTCAGAAATCCGTCTGACCATTACTTAAGAACCATCAATAAAGACTTTGCAGAAGTAAGTGACCTTCTAACACTAATCCCATCCCCTTCACAAAATATTTATTTGTAATGGAAATTTATGTAAATTAAAATATTGAACAAATGATTACGGACAATAGGACATTGAACAAGGACTTGGTAGAACTAGTGCTGAAGAAGTCATTAACATTCTAGTCAACTCATACAAATCATCCGAGACCTGCCAGGAAGTTCAACACCGAGTTTCACAGATATGCAACCAGGTAAATAACTTTAGCTAATTTAAACGAATTGTTTTCACCTCCATATCCAAAAAACTTTTTGCAGTAAGTTTTCTCTTGTTCTATAGAAAGGAGGAACTCTGGAGAAGAAAGGAAGCCAAGCAAGTTTCATTACCCAGAGCCTTGTTCTTACAAGGAGATCCTTTGTGAACATGTATCGCGACTTAGGCTATTATTGGCTTCGCCTCGCAATCTACATCGCCTTATGTTAATGTGTAGGGACTATCTACTATGACATTGGAGACACTTATGGCTCAATTCAGGTACCTTGATGAATACACAATTAAAAGTACTTTTCTGTACTATTGTATCATATATCCTGATCCAGTGTTCTATCTATGACTTTTGACTTCAGGCTAGAGGTTCAATGCTTATGTTTGTTGCAGCATTTTTGACTTTCATGGCTATCGGTGGATTCCCTTCTTTTGTAGAGGACATGAAGGTTGATGCGTTTCATTAATTTATTTCCAATGATTTTAAAAGAGAAATGCTAGCTTTATAAAGATGCATACAAAGAGAGGCATACAAAGACAAATTCTATCCTTAATCTTCATGATTGTCTTTCTCTCTCTCTCTTTTTCCCTTTTTTTAAAGGTTGGATTTAACTTTGTATGTCCCTTTTTGTATGCATCTTTGTAAGGGTAACATTCCTCGATTTTAAAAACACTGTGAATGAACATGTTAACTAATAGTTCTTTTTGAAATTGTTTTTATGTTGTCACATATATTTGGGCGAGAAAGGTTAAATGGTCACTATGGAGTTGGAGCATTTGTTGTTGGAAATTCATTTTCGTCCATTCCTTACTTGCTTCTTATATCTTTGATACCTGGAGCAATAGCTTATTATCTTGTTGGCCTTCAAAACGAGTTTGAACATTTCGCCTACTTCGCTTTGGTGCTTTTCGTGTGCATGTTGCTAGTTGAGAGCTTGATGATGACTGTTGCGAGCATAGTACCAGATTTCCTCATGGGAATCATAACCGGCGCTGGAATTCAAGGGGTGATGATGTTGAATGGAGGATTTTTTAGATTGCCAGATGATCTTCCAAAACCATTTTGGAAATATCCAATGTACTATATTGCATTCCATAAATATGCAAATCAAGGATTTTACAAAAACGAGTTTGAAGGATTAACGTTCCCCAACAATCAAGCAGGAGGGCCTCCAACCATCACTGGTGAAGAAATATTGAAAAATATCTGGCAAGTTGAGACGGGCTACTCCAAATGGGTTGATCTTGCTATCTTGTTTGGAATGGTTGTTGTTTATCGTCTTTTATTTTTGACAATCATCAAAACTGCGGAGAAGGTTAAGCCCGTTATCAAAGCTCTAATGGCTCCTAAACCATCGAATCAGATTTGGGAGAATCCCTCTGTCAAAAGATCTTAGTTTGCATGAGGCAAAACTACTATGCATTAATTATCAGTTACATTATAATGAAATGGAAATCTTGCTTTTCTTTTGGATTAAAAATATATAGCTCTTTTCCTGTACATTAGAATTGTGAATTTGTGCATTGAATATATATGAAAGCATATATAATTTGAAATCCGAATTTCTAGTAACCGGAATTTTCCTAATGCTGAAGACTATTGTGACACGTTATACTTTTATATTCTCTGATCATAAAATTGATTTATTAATTTATTGTATTGAATTTTAAAGACTGTAAATCACAACCTTATATTCATATAAATCTGAAAAATATTTTGTTATTGTTTGACGGAGATAATTATACAGAATATATCGACATGAAATATTTCATCTCAGAATTAGGGGAATGTAAAACTCAACCGGACTTAATTTCGGGTTTGAGAAATTAGACCTCAAATCAACCCAAAATTACCAGTAACCTGATCTGGATCCAACAAGATCAGGTCGGGTCAAGTTGATGAGGTGAAATCTAACTGGACCCAATTGTTTCGGCTGAAACACAACCCCCACCAAAATTCCTTTTAAGCCCTATTATTAGCTTTTTAAGATTAAAAGTACACAAAATTACCAAAATGGTCTTCCATATCAAAACCCTTCTAACAAGTTTTTCCAATATTAAACTTTGAAACATCCTGCCATTATAAGATCAAATCTCTTTATTTAATTTAATTTAATTCCTTCAATTATTGGATGAGTTGTGCAAACTTTTTAGAATTTTTAATAAACTCTTCCAAATCCTTTTGCCACTGTTTTCATCTACCTCGTCTGTAACTTTTGGTTGAAGTAAAATGTACACTTGAACTTATTTTCTTATTTCATTACATGTATAATGAATAATTTTATGTTAAATTACTTGGTTTAGCACAACATCCCGCACATTTTTCTGAAGAGTATTTATCTTTAAGAAATCTTAGTGTTTATGATTTCAACAACCCACATTTTATTTTTAGAAGATCTTACTTCTAAGTTTACACCATTAAAATATTTTAACATATGCAAAAGTCTTTATAAACTCCACATACTTTCATTTATATTTTAAATTGTTTTGAATATTAAAAAACAAAAATCTATCCACATGTGTTTTTTCTTCCAAGATTGTAAGAAAAATTAATAAGAAATTTGAATGCATCACACTAACTTATAGATTTTGAGAAGTGTAAAAGAAGAAAAATAAGAAAAATTAATTTATCTCAATTACACTTACATGATCTTGATCAAACTATTGCCATTGCATAAATTTCGTCTTCATTGTTTCAAAGTAGAATTAGGTTCATTGCAAGGGTTTATGATTGAAAGAGGAAATTAAATTTTTAGATAGTATAACTCTTTTATGTCTTATTTAGAAATTTTAATGAGAGATAAATTAAATCATAAATTTAATTATAATTAGGGTCTAAAGAGATAAAATACAGTGGGCCAATGCATCATTTTTAATTTTTAACTAATTTTGGGCTTGCAAAGAGTTTGTGCAGGGCTTAAATAACACATAAAGCAATCCAATTTTAATTTAATAGTTTTGAGTTGTTGGACCTAAAATGTTGGACAACTCAAATCTATTTAAGAGCATAAGTTTTATTTCCCTTAAGAGCATGACTTAACATAATTAAAAGATTTCATTTATATAATCCTTTATGTGTGAGGAGAGATTGCCTTGGATTAAGTTTCCTCTTTGGTGTAGGAGTCATCATATGGTAGGGGATAAGCTTGATAAGGATATCTCTTATTTAGAAGATATCCAAGATAATTTTTTCACCATCTTTCCCTTGATCTTAATCCTTGAAATGATATACAGTATAACCTCTAAATTAATAACATGGACATATAAATTTTAATAATTAAAAGAGGTATTAATTAATCGATAAATTAATAATTTATTAATTTATAGAGATTCAATTCGAGAACATACATTTAATCAATTAAAAATACATTGTATTTTATCAATCTAATCAATTGCATATGGTAATCCACTAAATATACATTAAAGCTTAATTAAATTATTGTACTTATGTACTTAATTAAATAATTTCTTGTATATAATAATTTATGTACTTATTAAATAAATCTTTTGCATATAATTGCATTAATTAATTAAATGTATCAACAAAAATATATGCATGCATAATTTAATTGAATTAAATGTATTCATTGATTTAATATCTTTAATTGTATTAAATGAAAAACAAGTAACAATAAAGTCATATTTTAATAAAATATCATAGTCAATTAACAAAGTATTTATTTATGATATGAATTTTACAGTGATACAAGATTTTCCAAAAAAAAATCATTTTATTAATTATTAGAGTTTATACAATATCCCTTATATAATATATTATAATGGTACGGAAATATTACAGCAAAATGATTTTCCATATACATGAATAGAATTGGTGTGGCTTTTTCACAAAATATGTTTGATTTTTCCATTATTACAGGCGCGTGCCAAGTTTGGGCTTTTTATACTTTTGAAATTAACAATGGCCACCCGTATAGCTGACTTCCTATTTGAAATTTAAAAAGATGGTTCGTGAACGATTAATGACAATAATACCTACATGAATAGAGAAAAATACTATTTACTTATTTGTAAACCAAAATTAAAACAATAAAACTCTAAAATAATAGATTATATAGAAAAAAAAATTTATAAAGACCTTACCTTACACCATAGTTAGTAAATACGGGTACGGTAAAAAAACGGTACGGGAATTTTACGGGAATGATACGGCAAACGATGAAAAATACGTTTATAAAAATTTGGTCTTAAATTCGGATACGGGAAAAATACGATACGGGTATATACGGGTTTAATACGGTATATTGTCAATAATACGTTTGAAAAATACGGTAATATTAATCTTGATTGTTAATTTTTATGATCATGAATTAATTATCTCTATTTTTCATTATAGGTGTATGATTTATATTTTTTAATTATAATATTTTAGTTTATTATACATATTATAGAAGTGATCAATTATTAAATAAATAATAATTTATTTGTTTTTTTTAGAGTGAAGAAGAAGAAGATAAGACAAACGTGGTGTTTGTTGAAGAATAGTTGAGAGGAGAGAGATGGAGACGCCAAAAAAGAGAAGAAAAGAGAAAGAGGGCCAAAAAAAAGAGAAGAAGAGAGAAGGGGCGCCAAAAGAAAGAAAGGGGGCCAAAAGAAAGAAAGAGAAAGGAAGCGGGCGCAGAAAAGGGAAGAAAATGCGCCAAAAGAGACTGACATCGCGCTTAAAAGACGAGCATAAAACGACGTCGTTTTGATCAAATTTCACCTAAAACGACGTCGTTTTGGCTCAGAAATATAAAATTTTATTTTTAAAATACGGCCGATATACGGGAATTATACGGTTAAGACATATAATTCGCGTATAATTCGGCTGTGCTTATAGAATACGAGAATTCCGTTTTATATGCGAATTATACGGTTGGGCGTATAATTCGCGTATAAAACGCAAATTTACTAACAGGGCCTTACACTTCCAACACCTCCTTTTCCCCACACTCTTGACACAGTGCCGCATCTCCCCAGACTTGGGGAGGCCTGGGCTGCCCCAAAATTTTTAAAAATTTTGGAATTTAATGTAGTTAACTATATTTCTGGTAAAAATTTTCCGTACTTGGCCTTCAAACTTGTTTCAATTTGTCCCTCAAGATTTGGGTATTTCATTTAGATCACATAAATCAATTTATGAAATAATTCTTATTATTAAAAGGGAAAACTATTAAATTATTACTTATTTATTTCACCACTTTAAGGGGTTTTTATCACGTACCCCCTTGACCTTGAGAGAATAGGAAGTATCATGGTTTTCCAAAGTATTACAGACCTCCCTAGATTATCATTTACCCCCCAATGAGATCATCATTTATCCCCCTAAAAAGTATCAAAAGCCCCCTGACATGTAAGGCAAATGAAAATTTAATTTCTCAATTATTATATTTTCTTTGTTTGTCTCTGTTTCTTTGCCAATTCAATAATCCCTTTCTTTTAATTTTAGTCATGGTTATTGAATTCTAAATTTGTAAACTTATAAAAAAATTGAAAAAAACCTGTAAAATAAAACAAAAAGGGTTTGAATTATATAATTTTAAAAAATAAATCTAATAAAATTAAGAAAAGGAAAAATAGAAAAAAATAAATAAATAATAGAAGAAAACCCGTCTAAATCTAAATTTAATAAAATAAAATAAATGAAAAAATCCCCCCGAGCCCGCGGCCCATTTTTGAACATCAAGATACCTTTCCCTTCCCGCGTGGCAACCACCTATTTGTCGCCCACCATCACCAAACCCTCCCTCGACCTCCCCTTCCCACCATTCAATTAATACAAATTATTAGGGAAGAAATAATGAATGATTGAAAATAAAAGTCACATTAGGCATATAAATTGTATTAGAAGTAAAAGTAAAATTCCTATTAGGATAGGTCTTGAGACCTATCAGGCATAGTATTCCATGTATTATCTATAAAATGGTGTTAAATCCTAGAGATAGGCAATGAAAGCCAAGGCTACAATTAGAGAGTGAGAATCACCAAAGAGAGTTTAACTGAAGAGCCAATTTGTGAGGCATGTAAGATACTATTGTAATTTTTTTTCTTCTTTATAGGGAAATTCTATAGCAGCAAAATGGACGTACCTCCCATATGGAGAGTGAATCATTACAAATCTTGTATTTGTGTGTGTCCTTTGTTTGCTTTATTTTTGCTTTCATATGGATTCAAATTTTGCTAGCATATGATTAAATCCTATAGCAACTTGTGGAGCCAAATTCAAGTCAAATTAGTATTCCATTGGGACATGGATTTTTCTAATATGTTTCTTAGTAAAATTGTTATCTTTTTAATACAATTAAAATAAATTGTATTAGAAATTAAAATAAAAGTTTTATTAGGATAAGAGTTATGAGTCCTATTAGGCATAATATCTCATGTATTATCTATAAAAAGAAGTTAAATCCT